GGGGGGTGTTGAAGCAAAAGAAGACGGGAGGGACGACATATTTTCCATCTCACGCCGTGCCACCACATTCGGCACCGCCAGTCTGTTTGTGTGTGCGTTTTGCCACTGTGTAACGCGCTCTGACCCTGGGCGAGACTTTTGGCGTTGGGCCGCCCGACCCATGCAGCCCGTCGGGACGCGATTATGCAACCAACCCTGCACGCCACGCCGTGCTAGGCCACACCAGCCGTCATAAGATTCCCTTTCGAGGGGCCTCCGCTATGGGTCCTTGGCGAGGCCGGGCCGCGGCGGGCTATGGTCGCCACGGGTCAGCTTGTGGGGCGACGCGCGTGCTAAGCTGAGGTTGAGCTAACCAGGTCGTCACAGGAACGTCACCGGACACCCACTAAATGTGCCTCATATTTGTTTAAAAAAGTCCTTTAATTCAGAACTGCACAGGAAAACAAATGTTTTGCCAAATTCCGTTTTATAATTGCTATTAGTGAAATAGTGACTTTCCAAAGGCGCTATACTTTCGTCAATTCTAGTGCCTTTAATGGAAAAGCACCCTAGGTGTTATTTACCACTTGTGTTTTTCTAGTGGCGTTTGCACAAAACACCCGCCCATTTGAGCTCTTCTTAGATGTTTGTCGAAGGGTAGAGAAAAAAAGAGGAGTGCATGCCCGATACTTGTTTCTTACGACCGAGTTTCGCTGCGAATGCTAATGCGCAGTCCCATTGATGCGGTGCGTACAACTGTCCGGTGCAATTACACCCAACGGCACCCACGTACGCCGCGACGCGGCGGGCGCGGCGCGCGGGAGGATGTCGCGCTTTCCCCCGTGCGCGTTTACAGGCAATTACCGTGCGGTGATACAATTACACAAACGCAATGCAAATCAGCTAACGAGCCGTTCCGTCCGCTATTAACCCTTCATGATGCCCCGCGCCTCAATTGTGTCTTTGTGTCTGCAGCCGCGTCTGTGTGGCTAGGTGCGCCCGTAGGTGAGTGCGTCTGTCAACCCACCCAGTCGCATTATTGGCCAATTGGAAAAGGGGAAACGTCATACTGCAAGTTGGTATTTCATAGAAAAATCAGTTTGCGTGCAGACGCTCAGGTAAGAGCAACCCATATTTGGTTTTTCAGGTGTGGACAGGAGCACACCAGAGCATTGAAAAAAAACCATGGCGCTAGGGCAGACGAAAAAAAAAATTGTGACATTGTGACGTAAGCGGGGTTAGCATGCAGGTCGTTTGAATGGCAAGAAGGACAGCGAGGGGCGTAGCGTCACTCGCTTGGGGGCATTGGGAAAATTCAGAAACGACTTGGAGGAATTGTCGTGTCGAGGACGACCAAACAATTTCGGTCTGAACAAACTTGAACTTTCAACAAATCTTTCTCCTGGCCAAAGAAACGATTTCCTAGTGTTACCAACAATTGCGATAGACTCCAGTCATAATTTCGTTTCCAGAAAGAAACGGCTTTCCTAACAGTCTGATCTGATCAGCCGCGCCTTCGCCTCACCGTGTGGGCCGTGAGCTGTGCGCTGTGCGGTCAGCTGCTCACTTACGTCCCGCCCGGTGTCCCGCCCGCCCCTCAGGTGTGGAAGCCAGCTGTTGTTAGCCCACCCGCTCCTACCGCGAACACTGATAAGTCAGCGCATCGCAACCCAAGTAGCTTATAAACATTGAGGAAACTTTTAAAAGGCATTTAACCTTTACGAAACTACAGGTGACACGAGACTCCACACTACGTTTTGCTTCGAATCTTGCACGGTTGTGCATGTGCAGCAGCAATGCTGGTGAGAACTTTATTTTGCTTTTGTACAGTTTTGTATGTAAAACCCTCTAGAGCTACCCCAAAATTTCTTATGAATTGTACCAATGGCTACGTCGCACGCGGGTTAAGTAGTTTAAGCCCATCGCTGTGACATGGGGAAATCCTCCATCTTCCTACAGGAATGATAGTGCAAACCACACGGCAAGATAGATTTCACCTCAATTCCAGGGCAGATCACGCGTCGTGCCATGAGCACAGATCACAACAAACGTGAGACAGGAGGGGGTAACAGAAAAAACAGTTTAGTGGTGGGCGGAGGCGGAGTTGGAGGGAATTTAGGGGGGGGGGGGCAACAGCTGAGCAGCTTCGCCAGGGCGCAGACAGGCAGCTCTCTCTGTGGAGGACTCGGCGAACTGCGAGCGCCCCACGTTGGAGCTGGTACACGAGACGGCCGCCAGAGAGAGCCAGCGCACGACGTCAACATTGAGGCGTCATGGCGGGAAAACTTCTAAACGTCTGCTCGTGCGGTCAAGGAAGGGACAGAGCGACCGGCAGAGGTTTTAAAATACAAAACAAATAAAATGCCATAATAAGTTCACACTGTGCTAAAGAATTAAGCTCAAAAGTTCCTTCCCCACCTACAAGTGGAACACAGAACGTTTTCGTTATACTGTAGCACACGCACTGAGAAAAAAGCTCTAGTGGAGCCCGAGTGAAGCACAATGTTGGGAGCAGCATCCTATTGCCCAAAAAAATTTGGCGCTGCGACAAAAAACTTGTGAGCAATAGGCAAAAGCTTGGTGCCCGTAAGGAAATATTTTTCTCAGTACGCAGTCGCATGAACCCGTTTGCCTGCCTACAGGCTATAGGCATAAGGCACCGTGGTTAGGTTTAGTGAATCGGAGAACCCGCCCGCATAGCTTCTTGCAGTCGGTACTGTGGCACTGCTGATGATGGCGGTATCGGGCTCCCCGTACATCCACGAAGGTACTTATGCTTATAAAGTACATTTTACTCACTCCAACCCTGTAGCGTTCGCACCGTGACAGAACTGGGCGACGCGACGAGAGCACGGAGAGGCATGATGAAGGGCTCTGTATCAAGTGCTCCACAGCTCCACGTGGGGCCTATCAGGACTTCCGGCCCCACTACGCCCGGCCACCTGGGGTCGGTGCCCGCGCCCCGCCCGCCGTGCTACCTGCACGCACACGCACACGGTTGCACCTCGCTGCGCCGCGCGGTGTGACAAGGGAGCCACCGTCATTTCAATAGCGTCAGCGTCACACTACACAGCTGCCCGAGTCACAACCACAATCCATAGTCTCGGCAGGCACTCTCTGGGACGAGCGCTTGCATTTTACTTCAATGGAGATATGGGCCCCCTATTCGTGTTCCTTTAAGCTCGACACATGCATTCTACGCCCGAACAGTTGAACGGCGACTCAACAGTAAACTAAGTAGTACTCACCGCCACCTTCTCCAAGTACAATTCGAAATCCCGGTAGGGATCCTCGCCGCTGGTGACGCCGGCCGCACGGGGGTCTCCTCCTGCTCCCCGCTCGTCGTGTGGGCCCCCGTCCGGGACCCCGCCGCGGGGTCCCGCCGCCGAACCGACATCGGCCATGTCGCATCGTCGTCACGGCGCCAGCGGCATCCCGGAGGCTGGTCGGACGGCGGCCGTGGCCACTGCCCAAGACGGTGAAGCGCTCCTCGTCACAGGCATGGTGTACTGTAAGCAAAATAATGAGAAACATAAGTTACCGAAAAGCACAGTGGCTATTGATATGGGATTGACGCCTTACTTCCTTCCTTAGAGAGCAATTTCTCTGTGAGCAAACGAGCAAATCCTATAGATGAGTGCACCGCGTCCTACAGCCGCCCAGGCGCTAGGCAACCCATCTGGCCGCGCTGCCATGTGGCAGGGATACAAGGCAGGAGGTGGGGCTTCGCGAGACAGATCATTAAAAATCCAGGAGTAAAGTGACAAGCCTAGCACCTCCTTCTCGCAGTCATCCATTTCTCTCTCTCTCTCTCTCTCTCTCTCTCTCTCTCTCTCTCTCTCTCTCTC